GAGATAGATAGGGCACTCAGATACAGACATATGGGCTGATGAAGTACCATTTGAATGGACACCTAAGAGGGTGAGAGAAGTAGACACGTGACTGTCGAAGGGTAGTGTTTTAATCAATGAGATGTAAGTGCAAAGCCTGAGACAAGGATGTAAATGATGTTCATGGGTCAGCACTGAGCTGGTGTCCCTGGAGTAGCATAGGTTAATAAAGGTATGGTGGGCAGTGAAATCAAGAGAGAGTACAAAGAACTTCCGTATACTTTTTACCTAGATTCACCAGTTGCTTACAGTTTGCCTCATTTGTTTTTTATCATATCTTTCTCATATATATAAATAATAACGCATACGTATGTTTGTGTTTGTATAAGGTAAATCCATACATATTTGGAGATCCATTTGAGAGTAGATTGAGATAGCGTGCCTTTTATCCTTAAAAGTTCGGATGTGTACTTCCAAAGAACAAGATCTTTTTTTAACATAAACACAGTAGTTAACCAAAATAAGGAAGGTACAGCTGTTCTACTGTATACAGCACATGTTTGAATTTCATCACTTCTCTGAACAGTATCCTTTACAGCCATCTCCCCCACTCCTTCTTACCACCAACCCTACCCCTGGGCCATGTTCCTAGTCCAGTTTCATGTATTTTATGTAGTTATCAGTTTAATCTGTGTTTATCCCTAGCCATGTATTTATTTGTTTAGTAAATACTGAGACATGGTCTCAGTTGCCTAGGCTAGGTTGAACTTGTGATCCTCCTGCCTCAGCTTCCTAGGATGCGGAGATTTTAGGCATGTACCACCACACTCAGCTTGACACTGATATAGTGTGTACAGACCTGTTACTTTCCAGAAAATTCAGAAGTTTGAGTTTTTTCTGAGGTTTTTGTATGATGAGGTTCCAGCTGTGCATTTGTAGGAGGTGTACTAATGATTTTATGTCTCTTTAGTTCACCGTGCAGTAGATACATGGTATTGGTTTCTCTCAGAATTGGTGATGTTGGTTTGACCACTTGATTAGGGTGGTGTTGGCTAGGTTTCACTACTGTACATTTATTTTCCCTCTTGTAATTAATAAGTAATGTGTAACAAGATACTTTGAGATTGTGTAATGTCTTCTTCCTTTACCAAATTTTCTTCCCTAATTTTACATGCATTATTTTCTCATTGCCTTCTTTTTTTACTTACGACATGGCATTCTACAGTAGGGAAGCGTTTTCTCCCTCCATTCATTCAGTCATTCATATCAGTGTGAATTCATAGATTCTTATTCATTGAGTTATGATGCACTAATACATCAAATTGTCTCCAGTTTGTCCAGTGGGAAAAGTTTCATTCCGGTGGCTGTGCCCTTTTGACATGTTCCCATGATTCTTTGAGAATTTCTTGCACTTAGGTCATCTAAATATTCCAGCCTCCCTATATTCCTTCCCTGCCATTACTCAGGAATAAGTCATTTCTACAAAGAACTTTGGAAACCTCGGAACTTTGGCCTGAAGTTAATGGGTAGCACCTGTACTGTACTGTACTATACTGTACTCCAGGAATGATGTGATTCAAATCAATATTTTTTTTTGGTCTTTTTTGAGACAGGGTCTCACTGTGTAGTTCAGGCTGGCCTTGAGCTCACTTTGTAGCCCTGGCTGGTCTCAAACTCAAAATGATCCTCCTGCCTCAGCCTCCTGAGTGCTGGGATTACAGGCGTGTACCACCACACCTGGCGGTAACATTTTAAAAAAATATTTATGTATTGGTACTAGGAATCCAACTCAGGACCTTGCACTTGCCAGGCAGGTACTGTGCCATTGAGCTATATCCCTGGCCCTCAAATCAACTTTTTAAAAAGACTGTTTTTAATAATAGGTTGCAGAAAAGAGTCAGTTATAAAACTGCCAGTGGAGAGCATAATTCTGAATATCTTCTAGTAATTTAGGCAAGCCATAATGAAGGCCGGAAAACAATTATTAATGAATAGAAAACAAAATAGTGTAGTGACTGATAAGCACTTTCTCAGCCAGGTGAGAAAGTGCTCAGCCAAGTTATTATCAATGTTGTTACCAGACATAATATAAGATTGATCAAACAATCAAAGACAGTAACAAGTAATAAAAAAAAATTGGAAATGATGTAGAGCTTCACCATACAAGATGGCAGGAGTTCAACAATGGTTCTTATACTGCATATTGTTACGTCTGGTGAACTGAGCAACTTTGCTGAAGACAACAGTATGTAATGTAGCAACCATTGTTAATTCCTACCATTTTGTTTTGAGGTCATGTATTGTTTTTGATGTTTTTATGTTGTTTTGATTTTGTCTTCATTGTTGTCTTGTTAGTTTTTTTAATCTTTAAAATAAAAAATATTGTTACTCATATCAATATTGATAAAATGAGAGTTTGTACTCTTAATATGTTATGGAAATGGCACTTAACCTTTGGAGTTTTCCTCCCAAAGACCCATTATGCCCATATAATCACAAGAATAACATGAGACAAATCACATTTGAACAACTTTCTGTAAAATACTTGACCAGACACTATCTAGGTCATCAAAAACAAGGAGAATCAGAGAAAGTGTCACTGCCAAGAGAAGTGTTATAGTTTATGTCTGGATGTCTTCTGAAAGCCTCGTGCAGATATGGGGCAGGCTTCTAGAGTTTATGATTGATTTCATGGTCTGATGTTGGCATTATAGTGTGAATGCCACACTCGCGCTGGCGGGGGTAGTTTGCATACAGTGTAAGGGAGGAAAAGAGGCTTGCCCCCGCTTTTACTCTTGCTGCTTTTGCTGCGTTGTGCCGCCTTGAAGTGTTGCCCCTGTGCCCTGCCACCCTGCCTTGCAGTGAGCTGATTATAGACTGAAACTTCCACAAATCGTAAGCTAAATAAACCTTTTCTTCCTTAATTTTGGGCGTTGAGTATTTTGTCTCAGCAATGAGAGAAAAGTAACTAAGACAAGGGGCCTCAGGAGACATGACGACTGAATATTATATAGTATCTCGGAATAGAAAAAAGACAGTAGGCAAAAACTAACGAAATCCGAAATCCATATGTGGAGTTTAGTTAATAATGTATTCATATTGGTTCATTAATTGTACCAGTGTAACAATCTGTTATAACATGTTGTAACAGAGGAATGTAGAAGGAAACTATGCTATCTTTATAATCTTTTTGTAAATCTGAAACTGTTGGAGAATGAAGTATTAAAAAACACTGTCAGTGAAGATGAAGTAGCAATGGATTTTAGAGCATTGTTAGGAGGTTGAATTGAACATGTTTGATTTCTTGAACTGTGAAGAAAGGATTGATGACTCCTAGTACTTTTATTTTAGGTGAGTGAGTTATGATGACATTTTCACATAATATCTAACAATAACTGCTTCAAAGTGGTCATTTTCAAAGGTTGATACTTGTTTCAACAGTGCAACCATTGTTCAAAATATTTTGCAATTTTTGGAATCTTTGATAAATTCTTTTGGTAATATTTCTTAATGAGTCATTGTACTTTAGCAGTGTAACCTTAAGCAAATTTCTAAGCCTCAGAATAGGTGTAACAATCTATATTAAAGAAGTAACCGTGAGGTAACTGTGATGATACATATCATAATAGGCTTTTGTCCTTTGAGGAAGAATTTGATCTTTGAAAATAGATTTAAATTATTTGAAGTCTGGTCTGGTTGATACTTGCAGTGAATTTGGTTGTGAGCAAGATAAAAAATAATTTTATGCTACTAATTTTTGGCCTATACATTTTTAAAAAGATAACTCGATTTATAATAGTGTTGGAAAAATAGTATATTGCATTTATTTGTCATGTTTTACTCTCCGTCAGGCAGTGGCAGTTCATCAGTGTTTTCTGAGCTAAAGTCTCACTATGCTTTTTTGGCTGGTGTTGAACTTCTGGGCTCAATTGATCTTACTGCTTCAGCCTCCCAAGAACAGCTGAGATTACAAGTGTGCACCACTGAGCCTGACTTTTTTTTTTTAAGTATTTTGAGACAGAGTCTCGGTCTTTCTGTATGATCCAGGCTGGCTTCATACTTGCTGTATAGTCCAGGTAGACTTCAAACTTTCATTTCTCCTGCTTGAGCCTCCTGAGTGCAGGGATTATAGATGTGCACCACCACAACCTGGCTCTGACTTCTTTTTTGTTTTCTTAAAGCTTCTGAGCAGAATTGGTCAGTTACTTTGTAGGAGATCCTTTAATTTGGTTTTGTTCCATTTTTTTTTTTTTTTTAACTTTGCGGATGTACATTATTGAGTAATATCCAGAGGTGTGATAGCTTTTCTCAGGACACCTTCACAGGGCCATATATTGAATATGCATCATTGTGACTTCAATCTTGATCAGTTAACACAAGTGCTATCTGCTAGGATTCTGCACTATAAATTTACTGTTTTCCTTCAGTACTTTCTAAACATTTAAGAAAATACAGTCTGAGGCTGTTCATAAAATTCAGTGACTAATTTTTGTACTCACTAGTGTTTCTTGCCAGTGGTACTTACTGTGGCATGCTGCTGACTTTTATACTGGCCTCATTTCTTCTGCATTTCTTAGTTGAAGCTTTTGTAAGGAAGAGTTGTCCTAAGAGGTTTTTGTTTGCTTTTTTTTTTTAGGAAACTCAACAAATATTTTAAGTCAGGGCTAGTACCAGGATTTTATGGTTAAAAGGCCATCCATGTTCTAATTTGATGGAAAAGGATAGCTGGTTCTTTTTTAAGTTTAGGGTTCAGCAAAGTCTGGTAATTCAGTTCTATGTTTGGTGTTTTATATAAATTCATTTTCTTTACTTTTGAATGGCTTTTATTTTTGTGATTTGTAAGATGACTTTTTGGGGTAACAACCCATGAAACTATTCATTTTTCTCATGTTTAGTATCTGAAGTAATAACCTGGGGAAACTAAAAAAAGTATTTTATGTTAATTTATATCTTAAAATTTTATAATTAGTAGCTTTTTTGGAACGAAAACATACCTTTAACTTTCTTCTTCTTCTTCTTAGGCTTGAAAAGGAATATACTACGATAAAAACTAAAGAAATGGAAGAGCAAGTTGAAATTAAAGTAAGCATTTCAGGGCTTTTTTAAGTGCTTAAGAGAAGTTGGTTGAAGTCTGTTATTTGGCAGTAGATATTAGGTTATGTTTATCTCTTACTACCATCTGCAGTAAATTTAGCAATAAAATTTATTTATTGACTACCCTCCTATGTTATGGTTGAAGACAGACATTTTCCAAAAGCAGGATAATGTGACTGATGGCTTTTGTTCTGTTGTGAAAAAGAGTAGCTTTGTCAGTGGCTTCTCAGGAGAGAAAAGTTCCATGGGGAATATAATTACATTCCATTTAACCTTAATTGTAATCGTGGCAGAGAAGATAATCTGTAACACATTGTGTTCTGAAACTAGTGGCAGATAACCTGTGTCAGACTAATTAAAACTATTATGGCTGCCAGGAGTTTTCATCAATGCAGTGTTTTCTTATCTAAGCAAAGATTATACTTAGAACTGTTTCCCAGGGAGACAAATTAAAAGTTTTATTTATTTATTTTTTTTATATGTAGCCTGGGCTACATAGTGAGACACTGTCTCAAACAAAACAAAACAAAACAAAACAAAACTTTGTTTTGGGGGGAAAGTTTTAGTTCATATGCATGACCAAATTCCTTTGAATACTGTGATAGTTTTCTGTCACTGTGGCAAATTACCTGAGAGAAATCAGCCTAAAAGAGGAAAGTTTTATTTTGGATCATGGTTGTTTGGCCCTAAAGCTACATGTCTGTGGTAAAGCTGAGCATTGTGATGGGGAGCTATGGTGCAGCCACACTGCTCATCTCATGGCCCCATGACCACAAGGAAAGAAGGAGAACTGGCTTTTATAACGAAGCTGATCCTTTGAACTGTGACTGATTGGATTAATCCAGTCTAGAGGTCAGAGCCCTCTGATGCAGTCATTCCCCAAAGGCCCCAGCTCTGAACACTGCTCCACTAGGGACCAAACCTTCAACACATGAACTTTTGGGGGATCTTTGGGATCCAGACTGTAACACTATGAGTCTCAGGCAGGTGGCATGAAATTATTTATAGAAAAGGATCTGGAAGAAAAGAGTTAAAAAGTTAGTGGAACTGATTAATTAAAATATGCTGCTTTCAATCAAGAGTATCTGTTTCTTCTTTACAGTCTTATTTTTATATGGTTCTTTTTTTTTTTGGTACCGGGAATTGAACTGAGGACCTTGTGCTTGCCAGGCAGGTGCTGTGCCACTGAGCTAGCTACATCCTCATCCTGTATGCTTCTTTCTTGTTGTTTCATTCCCCAAGCCCTTAAAGGACAAAGCGAAAACAGTTTTTGAATCACTATACTGAGTGGGTCTGGTTTTTGACGTGGACCTGATAATTTATCTTAGTCATGATCAGATGACCACTAACCATGTTTTAACTGAAACTTGTTGTAAAATGGCAAGTGTCATTTATTACGCTGCAGGTCCTTTTACAAGGGCGTAGGTCTGTTAAATTAGTGCTTTTTTGTTTTTGTTTTTGTTTTTTGAGGCAGGGTCTTACTATGCAGTTCAGGCTGGCCTTGAGCTGACTTTGTAGCCCGGGCTGCTCTCGAACTTACAAGGATCCTCCTGCCTCAGCCTCCTGAGTGCTGGGATTACAGGCGTGTGCCACCTTGCCTGGTTTAGTGCTTTCTTAAGGTTTTTATTTTTGTGGTACTGGGGAACACAGCCTTGAAACTCCTCTTGCCTTGCCTAGGTCTTCCTCGGAAGCCTCCAGGGAGACACGTTTGTTTTTTGTTTTTTGTTTTTTTTGGTCTTTTTGAAACAGGGTCTTGCTATGCAGTTCAGGCTGGCCTTGAGCTCAGTTTGTAGCCCAGGCTGGTCTCAAACTCACAAGAATCCTCCTGCCTTAGCCTCCCGAGTTCTGGGATTACAGGCTTGTACCACCACGACCAGCCCCAGGGAGACAGTTTTGTACCTTACTTTTCACAAGCAAATGGTGTGATCATCATAGCATATGAGGTTTTGATATAGAAGTGTAAAGTTAGCCCTGGGTGTTGTGAAGTCTGTTGTTCTTAATTAAATTTTATTTAAAATTCTAAGATCTCTGAGTAGTGACCTTCTTTTCTAATTATTACATCTGTCATTGAGTTTATTGTGCAAGTTATACCTTAAGTTTTTTCCACCTCTTCTTTAAAAGTGGTATAAGATTTTACTTGCCAGGTATGGTATTACATGTCTGCAGTCCCCAGCACTCTGTGGGGCTAGCCCAGTTTGGGTTACTGAGCCCCTGGTGAGGCTTGTAATGGCTTCATATGGGGAATCTTTATTTTTCTTGCTAGAAATACCTTTTTCAGTATCTTCTAATTTGTTGAGAGGAAGGAGGTAAGGAATATTCAAATTCTAGTTTATATTAGAGTAACCCCAAACTTTAAAAAAGAAAAATCTTGATCCCTCACTGTACTTAAGACTGATATTACAATCTTCACACTTAAATTTGTGCTTTGGGAAAGAGAGTTTGACAGCCCTACAAATGGAATATATTGGAAATTTTCACTGGTTTTTAATCAGAAGTTTTTATTTCATTATTTTTCCTATTTCAAGAAATATGAATTATTTAGATATGATTAAGACACTGTGAGATTTTTTTTTTTTTTGGTTTTTCTCCGGTACCGGGAACCGAACTCACGACCTTGCGCTTGCCAGGCAGGCGCTTTGTCGCTGAGCTAAATCCCCAGCCCTATTTAGATATGATTAAAAGCAGAGAATTAATATACAAACACTGATGTATCCACTGTCTTGGTTAAAAAGAAAAATACAGTATTACCTAGGTTGTCCAGGAATTATATTTAACAGTGAGTGTGAAATATTAGTAGAATTGAAACTCACATTTATTTAATACTTAATGTAAGCTGGGCATGGTGGCACATGTCCGTAATTCCAGCACTTGGAAGGCTGAGACTGGAGGATTGCCACGTGTTTGAGACCAGCCTGGGTTACATAGTGAGTTCAAGGCCAGCATGAATGATGTACCAAGACCCTGTCTCAATAGAAAGAAAGAAAGAAGAAAAAAAGAGTATGTTATAGATCCTTTACACTCTTTATCTCCTAGTTTTACAACAGCCTTATGAAAGTGATACTCATTTTTCTTTGAAGAAGAAAACTCAAACAGTGTGTCCGTGATAACATTGCCAGGAGACACCAAAAAGCAGGCATCTGAGTTCTTGATTTGTGTTATTCTTAGGCCCTGTGTGTTCTTCAGTGTGTGTATACTGTATTGTTTTTTAGGAAAGACTGATAGGTTTGTAAGTATGATGTAAGAAGGGTTTTGGTGTCCATTTTTCTGTAGCATTATAAACTTTTCATTAAAAATGATTGATTTTATAATACTTGGCAGGCATATTCGATAATTCATTCATTTAACATATAACTTATAGTGCCTGCCACATGCTCAAAAACTGTTCTGAGTGATTTTTTTTTTCTTTTTTTTTTTTTTTTTTTTTTTTTTTTTGGTGGCCGTAGGTAGTGAACCCAGTGCTTCATGCTTGGTTGCCTGAGCTACATCTTCAGCCCTCTAGGCACTTGAGATGTTATGAAACAGTCCATTTCCTGCCTGTATGGAGCTTACATTCCAGAATGAAAATCAGACAGTAAATAGAAAAGCAAAATGTATTCTAAACGATGGTAGTGGTTAGGAGAAAAAAGTACCTCAGGGAAAGGGAATATAAAGTGGTAGTGTTTGGGTTTTGACCATTTGTCTTTCAAATAAACACCTGAAGGCGTGGACTAGAGCCAGGAGCTGGCTTTAGCCAGCTAGCTAGAAAGAAGAGGGAGGCTGAGGCTGGAGGATTGGACCTGGGGAGGAATAGTAACGAGGCATTGTGAGTGGGCATCATGATTGATGAGAAAAATGAGTGGAGGTAAAACAGGCAGGCTGCAGATGAGATAAGGTCACGGACTCCGTGAGATGGGAGCCATTAGAGGTTTTGTAGTAGAGGAGGACAAGATCTGACTTCAGTTTTCATTGGATCCTTGTGGTTGCTTTGTTGAGAATAAACTGGAGGAAGTGTAAGCAGAAGCAGTGAGATTATCTGGAAGACTAATGAAGTGAGGCAGACAGAAGAGGATGGTAATTTAGACTGATCTATAAAGTGGTTAGATTTTGAATAGATATTATTATATTTATTTTGGGGGGGGTTGCTCGGAATTAAACTCAGAATCTCACGCTTGCCAGACAGGTGCTGTGCCACTGAGCGAAATCCCCTTAGCCCTTTGAATAGATTTTAAAGATAAAGCTTTAAATAGAGACAGATTGAATATAAAGATGTAAGAGGGAGAGCAATCAATGTTTTTGGCTTGAACACTTAGAAAGCTTGGGTGGGACCTGAAATGGTGAAGACTATCAGTGTCTGGTTTAGGGGGAAAGTCCCACAGCCCAGTTTCGGCTATTTCAGGAATGAAGTACATAGGAGATCTCCAAGATGCCCCTTGAACTTTTACATATGGAGGTAAGACTCGCATATGAACGTGGCAGTTGTGCACAGGAGGATGATATTGAGAGCCTTGAGAATGGATGAAATTACCTGAGGAATGAATGTTGATAAAACAGAGAATTGAGCCTAAAAATAAGCCAGCATTTAAAGATTAAGAAGACAAGGAGAAAGGAGCAAAATACAAGTAAATCATTTTTAGGAACCAAGAGCAGGTGTTTAAGAAAATACATTTTTATTGATAGGAAACAAGAGTCCAACTGAGTTTAGTGATTGCTACTTTAGATAAATGTCTTGGTTTTGTTTTTCTTTACCATGATGGATAGAGATGGAGTGTTTCCAGAGAGAGAGAAACCAGACTTTCACAAGCAAATACATACCCAAGGGAGAGAGGAGCAAGGGAAATGTACACAGTGATTGGCAATTAAATATTTTATAGATGCAAGAGAGGACATTATGATTTGAGGGAAATGAAAAAAAAAGTCAGAATCACTGGATTATCCTAATAAAGAGAAGGATTGTGGCAACGTGTGGTGGTGGATGCCTATAATTCCAGCACTCTGGGAGGCTGAGGTAAGATGATCACCAATTTGAGCCCATCTTAGGTAACTTAGCTTCTTTGAGAGACCCTGTCTCAGATAAATAGAAAGACAGATAGATAGGGCTAGTGTTGTAACTCAGTGAAAAGTCCCTGGGTTCATTCCTCAGTAGAGGGAAGGGGAGGGGAGGGTCTTTAGGGTTGAGCTACTTTATAATGTGAATAAACTAGAAAGAATAGGAGGTAGTCTTCAAGGAGTGGATTGTATAAAATTGAGATCCCTCTATGTAGGGAAATTTAGGTTATTTTATACTTTTTCTTTTAAAAAGAATATTAATAGCATCTTTGTGTATAATTTTTTGGCAGCTACCAGTATTTCCGTAGTCAGCTATAAGAAGTAGAATCAGATTATATTTACATTTTTCAGACTTTAGAGATATACTAAATGAATTTCCTAAATAGTGTTTTTGGGAGAAATTCTTTTTAGCAGTGATTCACCAGCATTTGTTTTTTGCCCTCTTAGTCTCATTTTTTTCCTTTCTAATCTCGTAGGCTAAAAAAGTCTTTATTTTTTTGTGTAAGTACAAGTACACATTTTTAGATAACCATATTTAGTAATTGTTCTCTTCATAGTTTTTACCTTATAAAACATTCCTAGAAAATGTGAGGATGACTAATAATAAATCAGTTAAGGTATAGATTTTAATTGCTAACTTTCTAAATATCCACCATATACGACTCAAAATATCTTGGAAAAATAAGTCCCATGTATAATAACAACAAAAGCATTTCTGGGAATGACCTAAATGAAAAATAGGATGTAAACTAACAAACACTGAAAGCTCCCCCTCCTCCCTGCTAGTGTCTTGCTACACAGTTCAGGCTGGACTTGATCTCATGGTGATCTTCCTGCCTCAGCTTCCTTAGATCTGGGATTACAGGCATGCATCACCATGCCCAGCCTTACCTGTAGACACATTAAAATGGTGAATAGTGAGACAGAATAACTTGATGTTGTATAAAAATGTGATTGTCACAACAAAATAACATATTAGCGAGGCCAGTTGACTTTAATTCCTTACAAAATTCAGAGCAATATTTTTAAAAACTCCAAAGAAAAACACTAAAGAATAGACGAAAAAGTATTACAGGCGCACTCATACTGAACTTCGAAAATATCATTAGCTGTGCTTATTATTAGTTCAGTGTTTGGTGTATGTTAGTTGCTGTGCTATCTCATTAAAGTTTTCCATATCTTTGTGGATTTTATTACTTTAGTTTTCTAGATGAGAGAATAGTTTAAGGCATTGAATGATATGCACAAGTATTAGAGAATGAAGACTTAAATCTAAATCTGCCTCATTTCAGGTAGCTTTTAACTACTTCAGTACTATATAGTAATAACTGGGGTTTAAGGAGGGTAAACAAAACAAGAATGGGGGAAATTACCTCTACCAGATTTTAAAAAGAGTTGCAAAGCTTTAATTGTCAAAATACCGTGTTAGTGCAAAAGAAAAGACAGTAACTTGTAAAAGTAACTCTGAAATGGTCTGTATTAGCTTAAGAGTCTTTTTAAATTTTTATTTTTATTTTTATTTTATTTGAGACAGGGTTTCACTATGTAGTACAGGCTGGCCTTAAACTTGGCTTATGTAGTTTAGGCTGGCCTCAAACTCACAGTGATCCTCTTGCCTCAGCCTCCTGAGTGCTGGGATTATAGGTGTGTGCCACCACACCTGGAGGAAGAGTCTTTTATCAGCTCTGCATGAAGTACCTATCACACAAATGGAGATAAAATGATTTAAAACTGATGTTAAGGGCTGTGAATGCTCAAGGTCCAGGTTTTGATTGATAGTACTACAAAAAAATAAATAAAAATGAACTTTAAAGTGATATTAAGACATTCAGTGATTAGGGGAAAATGAGCTTAGAATTTTATTTATAGCAAAATAGATTTTCAGAAGATTTAAGTAGATGAGGAAGGAAATCCAGGTGAGGTTTTTCTTTTTTTTTTTTTTAAACAAAGTCTTGTTACGTAGTTTAGGCTGGCCTTGAATGTCAGATCTTCCAGCTTTAGCGTCTCAGGTGCTGGGATTACCCAGCTCAGGTGAATGAGTTCTAAATTTTAGCATTATTTCTCTTGTAAGTAATTTTATTCACTCAGTTGTGTGGTTGGAACTTAATTGTCTAAACCTTCTAGGATATACAAAATACTAACTTTGGTTGATAAAATGATTGAGAACATTTTAGAATCCAATTTTTTAAAGTTTTCTATACTGTACTAATTTTTTTTTTTGGTTTTTTTTCTGGTACTGGGAATTGAACTCACGACCTTGCGCTTGCCAGGCAGGTGCTGTGCCTCTGAGCAAAATCCCTAGCCCCTTGTACTAGTGTTTAATAGTTGAGAATTTATGTAGATTACTGTGTTGTACATAGATGTGCAGCTAAAAAATGGGAAGTATTTTTTTTAAGCTGTTATTTTATATTCTGAAATCACAAATAATGCCCATTCTAAATCATTCATTAAATATATTTGAGTGGCTAGAAACAGAAAATCCAATTTGTGAAGTGTCTTTGTAATAATCAAGATTTGTTCTAATTTATAACTTACTTAAGAAGATACTATAATTCATAATTGATTTCCCCGAACTGAGATTTTGTGTGTTATATAAACTCCAGTTAAGTGTTTACTAGAAAAGTAATAAATTGAATTGATAACAAGGATTTTCTGAAGAAGATATTTGTAACAAATTTAGAAGAAGATAGGACTGGAAAGGCTGGGTTGAGCTGTGGAACAAATGGATACAAAAAGGTAAGGGGGTTTACAAATTGAGGAATGGTAAATGTGAAAGGACAGCACAGTGGATTTGAAAATGAAGAAATAATGTATATAGATTATCAATTAATTTTATTAGTGGAAAATGCAAAAAGATGACTAACATGGAATGGTTTGGACTTGATACTTGATAATGACAAGTGTTATAAGTTAGCAGTTATAATTGAGCAGTTTGGTAAAGTTTCTATTTTTAAATCTTGTTTTACTTTTGTCACTGAGGAAATGCCGGTAAATGCTAGTCATTTCATTTTCCTGAGTAGAAAACAATTCATAATAAATTCTTTGTATTTGCAGTATGTAAGGAATTTTGCAATGAAGATTGCTGTAGTCTAACATTTAATTTGAGATTTGTCCCTTAAATGTGCATATCCGAATTTTCTTATTCAACTGATATTTGTATACATAGGCCTGTAGGAAATAAGAAAGTTAGAATCTTTCCTATCTAATGAGGATATAAAAACATGTAAGACAGTATTGTAACTGTAGAAAAGAAAGAGGTTTTCTTCTGCAGTTTATATTTAAAATTCCTTGAGAGTGAGAATGAGGAAGGTGATTTCTTGCTATGTGTTTCTTACTCTGAGCCTGTAACAGTTTGACAGGTGATAATGTAACCATGTCTTACTCTTCTCTTATTTATCAAAGGAGACATTATAGGACTGATGTGGGAATCTTTATTTTTCTTAAGCAAAACTTTTTTTTTTTTAACAGAGGTTACGCACAGAAAATAGACTTTTAAAACAGCGCATTGAAACATTAGAAAAAGTAAGTAAATGATCACTGCAAGTATCTATTGAGTGCTTAGTATTTTTCCATATATTTTAAATAAATCCTCAAAAATATTGGCATGTGTGTCACCATTGTTGACTGCTAAGCTTATCTAGCTTATTATTTTACCAGATAATTATGTATTAATACAGTTGGTGCTAGCACATGAAATGTCATGTTAAAGCTTTACCTGAGGTTATGATTAGAGTGACATACTGATGTAATTTCCTACAGAGTAGATTCTTTTAGGATCATGCTGGGGACCCATTATGCTGTATTTTAAGCTGAGCTCCAAGTGCTGTATGATCCTCCTAGCCACATGCTGAATGTAGTAATGACTTAGGACCTGGGATTAAACTTAGTCAGAGTGAGTGAATCCTTATCTGAAAATTAGGTCTCACAAGAATGTTCTGCATAGGGAAATTGTGCATAAATTTTTGGTTAGAAAAATTTTCAGTATTTACTTAATACCTCTTCTCTGTTTCATATAACATAACTGACAAATGTGAACACTATGCATTCTTTTTCATATTGTGCTTTTAATGTGACGTCTCTTACAGTTGTATTTCTGATGCAGAGTGAGTTGAGTAATAAAGCATAGTTTAAGAATTTTGCTTTGGTGGCTGTGGTTGTGCAACCTTTTAATCCGTCTAGTACTTTGAAGAAGAGGCTGAGACAGGAGGATTGCTGTGAGTTTGAAGTCAGCCTGAACTGAATTATGCAGCAAGACTCTGTCTCCCAAAAAATCATTTTTTGCTTTATTGAAAGAAAAACATCTGAATTCACAACTCTTTCGATGCTTTTTTTTTAAAACTAGAAGTGAGAGTAAGTAGGTTTGCAAGTACCCCTCATGATACTGACAAGTATATTGCAAGTCTTGTTTGAATATCTATAGATAAGAAATAAAGAACTGGAAAAAGGGATATAGTTTGCAGTATTTTCCTTTTTAAAGTGTTTATGATTTCACATTTAAATAGAAGTGCACAAGGACTGGATATTTCTTGTAAGTCTGTCTTTGTTGTATTTTGTCTCTTGGTATTAGAGTTGCTTTAAGGATAGTTTTTTTGGTGACTTGACAAAAATGTTGAGCTTAACTGTTTTTAAGTAATTTAAATTATTTGTATACTCTTTTCCCCACTCCACTTATTACTGGTTTACAGTAAAATATATGACTTACTAGGTTTCTAAAAATTTTTGAGTTGAAATATTTTTCACAAAGCATTTCTATAGAATCTTATTTTAATAAGCAATGAAAAGTAGGTGGAATTGGGATATTTTTTTCTTCTTATTCCTGATTTTATCACACTATTATTTTCCTTTCTCTTATATTTCTGTCTGAATTTTTCCTTTTGTAGGAAAGTGCTTCCCTGGCAGATAGATTGATACAGGTATAACTTTTAAGCATTTTCTCTAACTTTAATTCTAAGGAAAATCCTAAACCTAGAAATTCATATTTTAATGCATGCAACTTTACATGCATTTTATTAGAGATAATATTTTGGGTGGTACATGGGTTAATTTTTGATTACTACGTTATCTTGGTTTATTCAGTTAGACACCTCTTGCACGTTTTCAAGCTAACTTTATTTTTTCACAGTATATATTCCAAAATGGCAATCAGGGAATTCTGTGATATTAACCACTATCATTGAAAATTGTAGTCCTGCATGTACAACTCAGTGGTATTGCATGAATTGAAGTTCTGTTGACTGAAAGAATTGTTGATATGGATTTTTCATTTAGTTTCCCCAAAATTTGCTGGAGCAATAACAAACTGCTAGCTAATAATTATCCTAGGCTGTTCTATTCTCTGAGGTGATTTTTAAAAAATGGGTCAAAGTAAATAACTAAACCTCATAAAGACAGTCTTTCTTGACTCTATCCTAAATTGCTTTACACACAAAAAAATTATGTCCTAAGGGACAAGTGACAAGAGCCCAGGAGGCTGAGGAAAACTACCTCATAAAACGGGAGTTGGCCACCATCAAACAACAGAGTGATGAGGCCAGTGCTAAGCTGGAGCAAGCTGAAAATACCATCAGGAAGCTCCAGCACCAACAACAATGGGTAAGGAGTCTGGTAGTGCTTTTTTCACCTCTCTCATCCCTTTCCCTTTAAACCAAAAACCAAAAGCACAACTTCAGTACTCTGGTTTTATATAATTTTGTTTTTTACTTTAATTGAACTCTTAAATTATTCCATTTTATGTTCCATGATGCTTAGGGGTTTTACTGTGGCCTAGAAACTCCTGTTTATCTTTTCCTCCCTGCCTATGCAATTTTGTTACAAGCAGGTAATGATTGTCTTTCTTTACATTATGGTGTATGTCACATAAAATAAGCAATATATGTCAGCCCTGTTCAGCTCAGAAATCTGTTTCATAATAGGTAACCCTGACTTCAGTCATTTTTGTGCAGATGAAGTATTACCCAAAGTATAGAATATATATAATCATTTCCTTTAAAACTTTGGTAACATGGCAGTTTATATCTTATGAAATACTGTAGTTTACGCTTCCTATATTGAGACATTGAATTATGGGTTAAGGTGTATGGTTACATTTTTTCAAGAAGAGAGAAGTTGTCAAGAGGGAAAAAATGTAATCCTTTAAAAATTATGTAAACTGACTTAGGATTCTGAACAGGTACTGATTGTATAGCTATCCTTAGTTATCTTTTGCCATTTAGGCATAATTTACCATTACCAAATTCAGATTAGGATTATTTTAGGAATATAAGTGCTAAAAAGAAAAGTCCATTATCAGTCTTTGAAAATATATTATTTCTTGTTTCAGTTTGCAAGTAGGAGTTGGATTATAATAGTAGGTAGGAAAAAATGGTTACTAAATCTAGAGCTCTGCAGAGGATCTGGAAGGCAAATAGAGTAACTATAAAGTTCTACATTATTTGTTTCTAATACAGCCAAGAAACAGCATCATCATCTGGGTATAAAAGTCAGAAAACTATAAGAAAGAAGAAAAATTGGTAATTGAAAAAAATCTATAAACATGTATTTTTCTATTATGTTATTAAAGATCACTAAGAAAAATGTATGAGAGTGATAACCTAATACTAGAAAGACTAGCGTTCAAAAATTTTGTCCTGGTGTCTCATGGAATAAAAATAATATTGAAACTTAAAAAGAAAAACAGAATAGAATTATTGAATCATTTTGGAGTTAGGCTAAAATGAGTTACAATTGCAATGTGATTCGTTTAGAAAGAAAGATAAGTATTATGGTTATATTTAGTATGAGCTACAGTCTCAGTATATTAGAATAATAAATTAAGTTTTTTGGTGTATTTTCAGTTACTGAGACCTGTAGGTAGATATAGATCAAAAGGATAGAGTGTTGGTTTATAATGAATAAATTAACTGAGTAAGGAAAAATGACCAGAATGTACTGAGGCTTTTGTAATTTTCTGAGTGTAAAACAGACATATAAAATAGTGATGTACAGAACAAATAGTAAAACAGCCTTGGTTAAATTTCTGATTTCATGTTATGTATCCTAGATATTAAATGACTTGCAGAATGATCATAGAAAGATTAAGCGATTCTTGGAAAATGAGGGATGGTATAGGTTTTAAGGTGGACAATACATTTCTTACAGAAAGTACCAAATAAAGGTTAGATAGCTAAAGAGTATGCAGTGACATTAACAGTGCTTCATCAAAAATGCCTAGAGCATCTGTTTTGTGAACAATTAGGTAACTGACTGACTGACTCACTAAAAACCAGTATGTTTGTATGTTATTACAAATTAACATTATTTTATAATGAACAAAAACTGCCATTTGCTGTTTATTTGGTGGACTTTCTCCTGGATGTGTTTCTGATCAGGGTAGAGAAATTAAGATGAAAGTAGTAAACTTAGTTGGCTGCATGAGTGATTAACTATATCAAGAGATTATTCATTTTCCCATGATGATATATCAAAAGTCCTTGTCTCTTAAAGCTGTGCATGCTGTATTTCACATTTAAATGTTCACATATAAGGTATGTTTAAGAATTCTATACATGAAGTATTTAAAAATGGATCAATATGTTGGATGATGAATCAATCAAGATTCCAAAACATTTAAAGTCTCTTCAGAATAAGAAGATAGAAGATTATTTCACAGCAATCTATAGCTTTGTTTATAGGTTTAAGGGTTTTAACTGACAGGAACTGCAAAATGTACTTGTCTCCGTGCCCCCGCCCCCCGCCCCAAAGTCTCAAGAGCAGTCTTCCTAGAAGCATAACACTCCTACGTAGTTTGCAGAAAGTTTATTATCTAATTTGAATACCAAATTATCTAATTTGAATGCCAAACTTATGTGAACATTTACAGAGAATATTGTGGCCAGTGTAGGAAAGAAGGTAGGAGTCCTGGATTTTTGGGGGCTGTAGGAGAGAAGACTTTAAAATTCATACATATATCATTTTCAAATTTTTGAGTAACAATCTTGTGAAAAAATGATTAGTCTTTCTGATACAGCTTCAGAAGATAGAACATGCTTAAAATTCAGGGATATAAGATCTTGTGCTTTGGAATTTTGAGAAAGGACTAGTTGCTTTGCAAAATAGTATGGTAGAAAGTAAACACTTATCGCTGCATGTTTTGATGGCAGCCTTTCAGTATAACTTTATGATTCTTAAACTCCCAGAGTAAAGGTTGAAACTCTGAATTCCAGCAGGAAATAACTGAATTTCACCCGTCCATACCCATCTCCCACTGCTACCAAATAGAAACTTTGGGTTCTAAGTTAAATTTTAGTCATTTTGCTAATAGTGTGATTGTGGGTACCTCAATACAAGTTTTATTGTTGTATTTCAAAAATGATTAAATAGGGTTAGGCCATCTCAGATATATTTTACTTCCACAATGAACTTTATTAAAGTATAACTTACAATAAATTTATGAAATTAGTGTATAATTTAATGTATTTGAAATATACATAGTTTTGTTGTCACCATCACAATCAAAATAATATTTACATCACTTTCGAAATTTCCCTTTGTTCCTACAGTTCACCATCCCCATTCCAGCAACCTCTTTGCTCTCCGTCACCGTAGTTTTGTGTTCTCTGTTTTATGTAATGGAATTGTAAAATATGAGACTCATGTTTCACTTTTTCACTTAGCAAATTCATTCACTTCTGGATTTCAGGTGAATTTTTTATGGTGGTAAAAAATATGCAACATAAACTATCACTTCAATGTATAATTTATTAGCATTATATACATTTGCAGTATTGGTAACCACTGTTTCTAGAATTTTTCATCATTGCAAACAAGTTGTGTACCATTACATAATAATTCTCCCTTCCCCAGTAGTGATAACCTTTATTCTACTGTTTATGACTGTACCTAGTCTGTGTAACTTATGTAAGTGAAATGCTGCAATACTTGACCTTTTATATCTGGTCTCTATTTGCAAGGTCCATCCTTGTTGAGGCATGATTAGTTTCTATGTCTGAATATTCCATTGTGTTTATGTCGTGCCTTTTATTCATTCACTTGTTTCTGGTCATTTGGGTTGTTTGTATTTCTTGGCTGTGGCGCATTGGTACAGGAGTATCTGTTTGAGTGTCTGCATTTAACTCTACGACATTGCTGAGTCGTACATAATTCCATGTCTAATCATTTTGAAGCACTAAAGTACTTTTCACAATTGCTATACCATTGTACATTCCCAGTAGCAGTGCTACTAGGGCTCTGGTTTTTCCACATCCTTCTTAACTCTTGCTATTTTCTGTTTTGTTTTGTAATAGCTAGCTGAGTAGGTGTGGGGTAGTATATCACTATAGATCTTTTTTAAACTTGAAAGTACTTTCAGTGCAAAGATCAAATCATGTGTACATTTAATGTGTTTTTTAAAATTAGTGCATATTAGTAAAATAGAATAATGAGATTCATTTGGTATATCTGTGTATGTATATAACATATTTTATTATGTTCATACCCATCCCTCCTCCCTTTTTTCCTTCTTCCTAGTCTCTAAAAGTCTACCTTCTCATTTCCTGTCATCTATTTAGTTATTTTTGACCAAGATTTTTATTTTAGCTCTTCTCTTTCTCCTTTCTTTCAAATATCACTACAAGCCAATTAGTTATGAGAAAAAAATTTGCTTACTGCTTTATTTTCTAGTTTAATACCAAGTTACCAAAATATTTGTGAAACATTTGTATTTTGATTAGTCCTATATGATTATGATATGTTTATCTTATAATGAAATGAATATATTTGTTCATTTGAATAATAATGTGAAAAATATTAAGTGTGGAGGGCACAACAGGAAAGAAAAAAGGAAGTCTGCTGTCACATGAAGTGTTCTGGTTCAGGAGACACATTAAGCAAAAATAAGATTTCAGGTAAAGGGTATAAAGAAAAATAAAGCAGGAATGAGTTTGTAAGTATGAGTGCTATTATAGATAAGGTGGTTGTGGAGCACTTCCTTGAAGAAGTAACATTTGACCAGACTGAATGATATATCAGAGGAAATCATTGAAGATAGGGGAGGAACGATTGCAGATAGAAAGTACACTCCATGTAAAGGTGTTGATAAAGAGATAAGCTTTAGGTGTATACAAATATACAAATACATATTTGTAAACCCTCCTGAAATCAACTAAAGAAAAATTTTTAAAAGTAGCAGATAGTAGAGGTGAAAGAGTCATTAAATAATCATTTAGGCTGGTTGTGGTGGTTCACTTCTGTAATCCCAGCACTGGGAGGCTGAGGCAAGAGGGTCTCTGTGAGTTCGAGACCAGCCTGCGCTATATGGTGAGTTCAGATCCACCCTGAATTACACAGGGAGACCTTGTCTCAAAAACAAAAACAAAAACAAAAACAAAAGAAGCCTTCTTTAATCAGACATGAAAGAGAAAAAGGGACAAGTAAATTACTCAGAAAACTAGCAAGACTAATTTTATTGTAGTGATATCAATCATTACATCAAATATCAGATTGGAATGTAAACATTTCAGTTAGGAGATTGGGTAAAAAGACAAACATGTTTACATGAAACTGACTTTAAATACAAAGACAGTGGGTAAGATAAAAACAGGACATATCAGCAGTGA